TTGAGGTTCCAGCAATTTTACATTGTGTTAATTTTTTTGAACACCTTGTGTCACAAATATGAGCACTACCAATGACATCCATGATATGCAACACTTGTGTCAATAATTATTTTACCTATCTAAAGAAATCAACAATAAGAGGCAGTACCCATCTAAGGATACACAATCTGTATAATGCAATTTTTTTAAACATAGGTTTTGATATCGTACCATATTGGAAGTCGACGCACAAATCTAAAAACATTACTTTCGAGTTTTTGAATTTTCCCATTCCAAGGTGATATAAAATAAATAATTAATTAGGTAAATTCATAGTTTTAATTCTAACTTGATTTATTTTATTTAACATTTAAGGCAAATGTGATTTCCAAACACAAGATAAGTTCCTTATCTATTTAATTACATAATTGAAAGCATTAAATTTATTTAGCAGTTATTATTTGGCAACAAAGCCACCGCTGGAACTGCCGCCTATTACTAAGTAGAAGAGTTACCACGCTAAATTTTATAGCTGGAAGCCGGCTAAGGAGACCCTGCTTCCATTTCGGGTTGCCAATTTCCAGCATTTAAGTAGCAGTCTGTAGCGATACGCTATATTGTCTGTGTTATTGCTTACCGAAAAGCAGATAAAACGTCATTCGTAAATGAAATAAAATCACACAGCAATAAAATAATACCTGTTGTAAGGACTTACCAGATCTTACAGCTACAAGTATTCAGAATATCCACATTCTAAACAAGCACATATTCTATGAATCCAATTGTATACGCTGGAAAATATTTCTTAAGCGGCAACAATTCGTATTCAATTGCATTGGAATACACTCATATTCTAATTTCAAATAAATGAGGTCAGAAATTGTATTTGTAAGCAAAATGAGCTATTGTCGCATGTTAAAGACGATAGGAATGATTGTTTAATTGTTCTTGCACAAGTTTGGTCAAGACTTTGGTAATAATTCTTCTTGGGCTTCTGGTACAAGCAATAATTCTGGAATTATCGTCAACAATGTAACTGCTCTTCTACCTTCACAAAAAAAATCATATTTTCTTCGTTCAGGGCGAGGAATAACATTGCCAGTATCTGAAACACATTGCGGCACCTACAAATAACCTAGACGTGTGGTAAACGTCTTATCTGAATGCCGATTACTATTAACACGTCGTGCTATACAATAATTACATTGTGCTAGCTATAAAATCAATGCTATAACTAACAACAACTTTTTAATCAACTGTCAATTGAAAATTGGTGATAGCAATACAACTACAGCCGACCTAAAATTTGCCGAGATAACGCAGTTCGGAATAAAAAAGTGTTGTATATTTTGTTATTTCCAGCTTTGATCATTTCGGTATTAGACCAGTTAGTTAATCCTGTTCATTTTAAACTAAAAATAAACACACCACCACAGAAATGAGACAACCCCCAAATCCAAAGCCAAAGGCTTGTGCGGAAGGGGGCTACACTTGAAAAAACGCGGACAAACACCCATTATCCATGGACATTGCCAGTGCCGACACCGGGGATCGAACCCGGACCAGAGTAGGAAGCCTAGCCGAGAAATGCTTGCCACCGCACTCTCGACCGACTGCGCTACCGTGGCGAATAACGTTTACTAAATTTTAATTTAGACATTAATGAAAATATCTTCAGTTTGGAAGAATGATATGAAAACTTGTGCGAACTTATTAAATTTGTTGGATTACCTATGTACAATAACAGTGTTAAATGTTTCAAGTTTCAATATCCATGTTGATAAATTCTTATTTTCGCTGTCTTTGTTTCAGGAGAATAGTAAACACTGGTTTAGAAGAAATGCCCAATTTCAATGGCTTAAATACATCTTCTGTTCTGCACATGATGTAAGTATTTTTCATGGTTGTATATGCCATTTTTAAAATTGGGTATTATTTGTTTGTCACAAGATGGATATTGACAAAATATCAAATTTGAACCCCTGCTGCTCTACAAAAGTAATTGTAATGATTATCATTACTGACAAGCATTTTTGCTATTCTTGAATTATTTTAATGTAAGAGAAAGATAAAAAAATAATTGAATATTATACTACAAACAGAAAACAAATATAATGTTTTAATTAGACATAACTTTTTCTTACGATTAGAGCGATGAAATAGTGAGTGTCTATCTGTAATAGATGGTATATCTGTAATAGACAGCCAAAACAATGCGTCATAAGCCCAATGTGTTAGACAAGCACTTGTTTCCCTGGTAATTAATCTATTTCTAATACATTTATGCTTGAGGCATACTTTTCTGTCTTTATATCTCTTATTACTAGGGCTGTCAGAACTGAGTCGCGGGACATAGGCGCACGCATTATTTATTAAAAAGCAACAAATTAAATTGTCTACAGTACACCATCATAAACGCCAACGGATAGGAATTAATTACGCAACATCCTCATGATGAGAAACAACAGTATACTAACGTGACGTAAACGTGAAAAGTATTCTGAGGCAGCAGCTCACGCATGTTGCTTAGCACGCCATAGAATTGCTTATCTCTCTGACAACCTTACCTATTACAGATGGTCTATTAAGTAAGCTTTAAATTAGTGTTTTGTCCAAATAGTAAAAATATACATGGTTTATTGTTATATAGAGTGGAAAGTTTAAACAGAACAAATTCTGTAATTTAATAAATAAAGGTTTGTCACCAAATTAATGGAACACGTCAATTTTTATTTTCAATAGGGCATATTACAAAGAGGCTTGTTTATTATTTTTTTAATATGTGGGAGATTACAGCAACCCCCAACTTCTTGTTTTAAATGGAAGGGTAAGTTGATTAATTTTTTATTTTAAAGCTTTTTCAATTACAAATACAATCACGCATTTTTTTTGTTACTTTTTATAAGCAATGTGTCGGAAAAAATAAAATAAGGAAATGTTTACTGAAACTACTTTAATGTGCTCTCCACCTTGTTGCTGACAATACCCTAACAATTTCGGCGATACTTTACTAATTTCATTCTTTGTTGAAGCTTGGCGATGTTGTTAGGCTTAGTAGCATGAACCTTGCTTTTTAGATATCTCCATAAAAAAAATCTAATGGGGTAAGATCGGGTAATCTTGCTGATCACTCAATTGAGCCCCTTCTTCCAATCCACCTATTCGGAAATAATTCGTTGAGATATAGATATTTTAAGAAAAATGTGGTGGTACCCCGTCTTGTTGAAACCATATCCCTTGGTCAAATAAATCGGGGTCCAAATTATTTGGGAATAAAATCGTTAAATCACGAGCCAGTTCATCTCGGAGCATAATTTAGGTATGTTTGTCCGGTTACATTTTCATTGAAAAATACAGCACCTGCAATGCGATCCCCAATAATTCCAGCCCTGATGTTTGTTTTTTGAGGCATTTGAGTATGGCATTCACACTTCCAGTGGCAATTTTCGTCAGCCCAATAACGGCAGTTGTGTAGATTGACGTGCCCATGTCATGTGAACGTTGCTTCATCAGAAAACAGCACCCATTCCAAAGCAATTTGCGCACCTTCTATAGAAGCCATAATTCGTTCGCAAAAGTCGAGTCTATGATCAGGATCATCTTCGAAATTCGTGTAGATTTTGCATCTATGAGTGCTTTTTGGTCTTCTTTCAAAATTTTTAAAACGCTTACGTGACTGACACCTTGAACGCGAGCTATTTGCCTAGCTGGAGTATCAGGATTTGCTTTAACTTCCAACGACATGTTCAATCGGGTTTCTTCCTCGATTTTTAAAAGCCTTTGTCGAGGAGCATCCCTCATGTGGCCCAACTCCCTATATCGAGTTTTGATTTTGCTAATCGTACTTCGATTAACTAGAGGCATTTTTCGATGAACTTCAGCAAACAAACTTCAGCCTGTGTTTGACTTCTGTCCGCTTATCCGATCTTCAATAAAATTTCGATACAATGCGTCTCAGTTAAATAGGGCATTTTCTTATTTTTGGTTTTTAATTTACACGTTGAAATGCAAACAAG